CCTGAGTGTGGCGAAAGTTTCTCGGAGGTCCGTCAGATGATCTTTCTGAAGTTTAGTCTTGACAATCATATCATCAATATATGCCTCAACGTTTCTCCCAATCTGATCAAAGAACACAGTGTTTATCATTCGTTGGAAGGTAGCCGGGGCATTCTTAAGACCAAACGGCATGACCGTGTAACAGTATAACCCCTGATCAGTGACGAAGGCCGTCTTCTCCTGATCTTTCTTCCATAAGGGAATTTGATGGAAACCAGAATAGGCGTCCATAAAACTCATCAAGGCATGACCCGCTGTTGAGTCGACCATGTTATCAATTTTAGGCAGAGGGTAACTGTCTTTGGGGCACGCCTTGTTTAAGTCTGTGTAGTCTACACACATTCGCCAGGTGCCATTCGGCTTTTTAACAAGCACCACATTTGCAACCCAGTCTGGGAAGTAACATTGCCGAATGAACCCTGCATCAAGTAATTTTTTAACTTCGGCGGCTGCCGCCTGACTTCTTTCTTCGCCATGGTTCCGCTTCTTTTGTCGTACCGGCTTCTTTTTCGGATCCACAGCGAGTTTATGTACTGCCAGATCAGGACTAATGCCTGGCATTTCATTGACTTCAAATGCAAAGATGTCCTTGTATTCTTTCAATAGGTTGTGAAAGTCGTCACCAAGGTTTCTCAGAGCAGTCGTCCCAACTTTGACTGTTCGGTCAGGACGTGAGTCGTCTAAGATCAGGTCCGCATGCTCACCAGCCAGCTGAGGGCGGAACTCATCCGGCCGCTCCTCTGCCACTGATTGCTATTTTCTTGCTTTTCTTGCGGACTCTGTTTGGGACGCCTTTCTCTTTTTGTCGCCTGTTTCTTGAACAGGCGCACTCTCCTTGACATTGTCAAGGTCTGTTTTTTCTCCACTTGACCCAGTGGCCATAACAGTGGGCTTGACATCCGAGAGATAGCACTCTCGGGCCATCCTCTGATCTCCCCTTAGGGAGCCGACTGTTCCATTATCCCTCTCAAACTTAAGCAGCATAAGAGACGGGATTATAACAGCCTTGGAATTATTCAGGGTTGGTCGACCCAGAATCATGTTGTAGGCCGAGAGTTCCTCTACTACTAGGAACCGGACTACCATGTGTCGTCCTTCCCCTTTTTCGCCCAGGCGAATGGGTAAATCTACTCGTCCCAGTGGGTGGACGACTCCTCCTCCAAACCCTATTAAAGGGTGGGAGGCCGGATGTATGCAGTCCGTCTGATATTTCAGTTTTGACAGACATTTGCTGCTGATGAGATCTGAGGAGCTCCCGGTATCTATGAGGATTCGGCCAACTCTCTGGTTGGCCACTTTACATTCAATAACGATAGGGTCGTCATGCGGCCCCCTTACCCCTCCTAGATCCTCTTCAGTGATGACAATCTCAGGAAATGTATATTTGGACGGCCGTCCTTGGTGAACGGAATTTACATCTAACCGCCTTATATTATCTTTGTTGCCCCTAATAGTGGGGCCGCCTCCTGAGAAGCCGCCTGCAATGGTGTAGACGACTGCATCATCTGTATCGGAACTGTCGGCCTATTGATTCTTTTTGGCCGACTGCTTTTTTGAGGAAGTGTTCCCCGTAGATTTCTTGACATAAGTGTCAAGATCACCTTGCTCAGCCAAGCGGTCTAGGTACCGCATGAGACTGATGCAGTCATTGGTGTGATGACCAACGTCATCATGATAAGCACAGATTTTATCTTGGTTCCGGTTGTTTGCAGAACCCTTCATGGGGACCGGCTTCTCAATTGAGAACCGTCCCTTTATTTCTTTTAGGATAAACTGGTTATCCTTGTTAAACACATACTTTGGGGAGTATGGTTTGAATTCTTTTTTTCTTTTTCTGGGCCGGCTGTTTAGAGGAATCAGCCGCCCAGACCTCTTTTCTTTTCTCATCTTTGTTAGACGACTGTTTCTGTCGTCCTTCTCTTTTGTCGAACCTTTTCCCATCCGACTGTTTTATTGTACACAGATCAGTCGCCTGTATATAGGCTTCTGCTTCAATCAAGGCCTCTTGAAGAGTCGCCACCCTTTTTCGAACTAAATCAAATTTGAAGGTAGACCCGTCTTTGAGACCTCTAAAAAAGTCAGTATAAGCTACCTCATCCGGTAACCCTTGAATCTGTATTCTCATCAGGTTGAACCGCCTGATGTAAGAACGAAGCCCCTCCTTCTCGCCCTGCTGAATTGTTCCCAAATCAAGGGTCGTTTTCTTCGCGGGGATGTTCATGGCGAAGTTGGAGGCAAATAAGTAAGCAAGCGTCCTGAAGCTGTTTACACAACCAGTCGGCAGGTTGCCGAACCATTGCTGTGCGATTCCCTTGAGAGTCGCTGGGAAACACTTGCACCAAGTGGGATCATCCAACCCTTGAAGGTACATCAGGTTGGTGAATGCCATCAGATGGTCTTCTGGGTTAGTAGTGTCGTCATAGGCGCCTACTAGTACATTTTTTACTTTGGCCGGCTGAGCGGCTTCAGTAATTTCCTTGGAGAAGGCTGACGGCTGTTCACCAAGTCTAAGCAACCGTAGCTGCAAGTCCATAGGTTGGACGTTTTTTGCTGCAGGTCCACCAAATGGAGGTGGTTGCATAAAATACTGTTGTTGCGGCACAAATGGTAAGTTTGGTACCGCCTGGGCACTATGAAAGCCAGACTGACGGGAGGTGCCGCCTGACTGACTCTCATGGTACGACTGAGTATGCCTCATCGAGGCATTTCGCAAACTGTCTTGAAAGTCTGAAGTAGAGACCGACTCGGACAATCGGTCACTCTTCATCTGCTCTAGCAGTAGCCGAGCATCTGTGAATGTTTGCTTTGACCCGTCCGCCTGAATATGACGAACCGGTTTCTTATTTCCCGTAGGATAACGGAATTTTGTGAAATCAAGAGCAGGTGGCTCCCGCTTCTTGGATTTAGGATGAGGAGTCGCCTCTCGCCCTTGAACTGGCTTCCTCTTTAGTGAAGTGGAAGGTTTCTTGGCCGACTGCACTTTGACTGAAGCAGGCGGCTTTTTGTTGATCAACTCTTGAATCTCTCCCTTGAAGTCCCTCATGAAGGTCATGAGTTCGTTCCTTGTGATGGGAGCAGACCCATCAGTCGGCTGTTGCCGAGCAGGCGGTGCGCCTGCTGGCTCGCTTCCTGTTTGAAGATGCTCCCGTTCCCTCCTTTCGGTATGACGGGTACGTCGGGCCCTTAGGGTCCCGTCTGGAGCTGTATGAGTTTCAACTTCAAATTCACTTTCGGTGTCATGGTCCGACTGAACTTGAGGGTCGTTTAGGGGACGCCTCTCTTCAGGAGTCGGTACAGACTTGGATGCCATCTCTGAAGTACTCTCCCCACAGACGGCGCCAAATGTTTCGGGGTTTTCTGATGTCCTGCGGGAGAGTTACAATTCCGAGACTGGAACCGGACGCCTGTACCTGCAAAATAACGGAGACTCCTAAGAGCTCCGCCTCCAACGGTCAAGTTAGTACCTGATTAAGGAGTAATTAATACGGAAATTAAAGTAATAAGATCTCTCTAGGTGAGAGTGTTTAATGTTGGTAATCTGCTTTGTTAGCGAGATTAGCCGGTTATTAGTGTTCCGTAATGTTTCTGTTCTGTTCCGTTCTTCAGGTGAGATTAGTTGCTTGATCAATTGCTCTCTCAATTGCTTGATGTTTTCTTGATTCCCTTTAATGAGGATTAATTAAGTATTTATAGTCTTGAGAAGCGTGCCACTCTCTAGGTTTAGGGTAAACCTAGGGCTGACCGGGCCTCTAGACAGGATTGGGCCTTGTTGGCCGGTTTTCCCATTTGGCATGGGTGGACACGTGGCGTGCCTCGATTGGTCCGTAGAGGACGTATCTGTGATTGACACGTGGCAGGCTCCTATTGGCCTACGTGAAGGACACGTGGCGGAACCTGGTTGGTCCACTTGTCAGACGGTGATTGGTGGATAAAAATCCCCTAATCACTTTCCATTATCGAAGCTATGTATGTTATGTATTGTTAAATTAGGGTTTTTTGACTATGTTTTAGAATTCGATTACCCTTAAATGTGTTTTGGTTGGTATGTATAATATGGCTTCACAAAATGTAGTGTTGTTATGCCGGTGGGGAGGTGAAATTATGTGCGATGGATCAAATGTTGAGTACAGTGGAGGGAATATGGAACTTATAACACTTGAACCGAACATGACTGTGAATGATCTGATGAATGAGGTTCACAGTAGTATCGGCTCAAATCCAATGAATGCTGAACTGAACCTTAAAATGAGGTGTGAGACTGGGCATGGGGTTCAAGTGTTACCTGTCTCCACAAACAAACATTTAAAATCTTTGAGAAGCATTGTTACAATGAAGGGTGTTCCCAATGAGATATATGTAGAAACAGTGCCTATATGTACCCAACAAAGTACTTGGGCAGAACAACATCCTACATATGTCTCCGATTACAACACCGCGTCCTTCCAAGGCCCTTCAAACCACATTCCATCGAATGAATATGGGATGGGAACTTTCAGTCGCTTGCTGCATGATGATCAATTTCAGATGTCGTTTAGTCCTCATATAGCATCACTTGCACATGCGGGGGGCTGTGTGACAATGTTCGTCCAATCCGGTCCTTCAACATCAAACACCGTGGCTCCGTCACCGATGCGAGATGAGGTTCAAGAATCACCGTCTCAAGAAGACCCAAGTCATTTTGATAATATTGTAAATAAAGAATTGTCGGTGTACGATGTGTATGCGGATACAGATGGGGAGGAGTATGATAGGCTTGATGACATGGATCTTGAAGATGGGCAGATGGAAATTGATGAGCCCTTGGTTAGAACTGCAGTACCCTGGTTTAGTCAGATAAATGAGAATTATGAAGTTGATGAGTATTGGGCCAATTCAGGGAGTCATACATCATTTGTTCCAGGGGGAGAATTCGAGAAGGGATGTACTTTGACAGTAAGAAAACGTTTCAAGAAATGGTGAAGATGTATTCTATACAGAGAAATCAATTCTACACCATAGTGACCTCAAATGAGAGTGTCCTTCATCTGCGTTGCAAGAAGAAATGTGGATGGTCTCTAAGGGGTACCAGGACAAGTGAGCACTCGCGTGGCTTCACCATAGTCACATACAAATGCCCGCATCGGGAGAACTGTGTTACCGAATTACTATCTAATGATCACCCACACTTGGATTCGTCCATAATATCTGAGTTTGTGAAGTCCTTTGTGCAGAAAGATCCAACTCTAAAAGTTGAATTCATTCAGGAACTCATCTCCAAGCAATTCCATTTTGAAGTTCCGTATAAAAGAGCATGGTATGCCAAGGACAAAGCCATCACTCAAATTTTTGGGGATTGGGAGAGTTCTTACAGCAGACTTCCTCAGTTCATGCAAGCACTGCAACAATCAAACCAGGGAACCGTAGTCATATGGAAACACAAAGCTCTAGTGGAGGGTAGGTATACCAGCAACATGGAAGTATTTGAACGAGTGTTTTGGGAATTTGGTCCTTGTATCGATGGTTTCAAACATTGTATGCCTGTTATCTGTATCGATGGGACGCACTTGTACGGGAAGTATAAAGGAACACTTTTGGTTGCTACAGGTGTGGATGGAAACTTCCAAGTATTTCCACTAGCATTTGCGTTGGTTGAGGGGGAAAACATTTCAAGCTGGTCTTGGTTTATGAGCTGTCTTCGGGATAGAGTTACGCAACGAGATGGCTTGTGTGTTATATCTGATCGACATGCAGGGATTATTGCAGCAATGAATGATCCTAACATTGGATTCACTCAACCCCGAGCCTACCACAGGTTTTGTGTTCGTCACTTGGCTTCAAACTTGAAATCTCACGTGCGAAGCACCATCACGAGAGATACGTTCAAGGCTGCTGCGTACCAAAGACAAGAAAGAAAACTGCAAGCTGACTTGTTTTCGATTGGTCAAGCATGTACGAAATTGTTACAGTATATTGCCCAAGTGCCGTTTCCTACGTGGTCTTTGTTTCACGACGGTGGTCGCAGACATGGGATATGTACAACAAACTTCTCTGAGACATTTAACAATGTTTTGAAAGGTGCTCGGTTCATGCCAGTTATGTCCCTTGTTGAGTTAACTTTCCACAAAGTTAACAGGTACTTCACCTTAAGAAGAGAATCTGCTGAGACCAGGGCCGAATAAGGACTTGCATATCCCCCAAAAGTCACTGCTATTTTGGAGATGAACACAGCAAAAGCAAGATACCACAAGGTGGATGCCTATAACCGTCGGCTGCACATTTACCAAGTGACGACACATAGGGGGGAGCGAGTTGGTAGAAAGGGAGGCCATAGACACACTGTTAACTTCCAGTTGAGAACCTGTACATGCAACAAACCCCTGATATTCCACCTTCCATGCTCTCATGTTCTAGCAGTGTGTGCGACTTATTCACTATCCGAGAGGCCGTGGGTGGACCCTTTCCTGCAATCGGATGCGTATATGAACACGTATGCACCACAGTTCTGGCCTATTCCATGTGAGACCACTTGGACGCAGTACATAGGACCTAGACTCATCCTGGACGCCAGCATGGTAAGAGGAAAAGGTCGGCCAAAGTCAAAGCGCATACGCAATGAAACGGATGACACTAACCGACCTAGGACTAAATGCAGCCGCTGTCACCAACAAGGTCACAATCGCAAAACGTGCCCAGCTAGATCAACCGAAACATAAACTTGTAATTGTTTAGCTATAGTAGTAGAACAGTAGATTCATGTAGTAGTTGATTAATGACGTTATGTAACATTTGTAATGCTTGGATTATATTTGAGATTTGGTGACTTATATTTCGTACTTGTCTTTTACCTGTGACAGTCATGTCAATTTCATTGACTAGTAATTCTGTTTTTTAATTGGTTTGGCCATATTGTTTTGAATGAACAGATATCATGGTCGGACACGATCGGACACCAGGACCACTTGACCCTTCTGTCCTTACATTGCAGGATAGACATCGGAGTGTTGACATATGGGAGCAGACGGTAATTTCTCACGTGCCATTTCATATACAGATTTATCTTGTTTTTTTGTATACTTGACCCTTATTTACAGTTTTTAAATGAATTACCAGGTGGACATAGCGGAAATGTTGGGGTGCAGGCACTTGAGGTCCGGCTGGGCAGTCGATCCACGCGTTCTTCAGTACGTCGACTGGGTTAGCTTTGGTGGTATTCATCGCGTGGGCTATAGAGAAATAGATCGAGGGCTTATCACAGCATTAGTTGAGAGATGGAGGCAGGAGACACACTCCTTCCATCTTCTTGTGGGGGAGGTGACAGTCACGCTGCGGGACGTCGCGATACTCACACGCCTTCCGATCCATGGGAATGCGGTGACAGGGCGTGTGGTACTTGACCCCGCAGGTTTAGTAGGTCGGGTTTTAGGGGTTCAGCCAGAGCCAAACGAGATCAGGGGCAGCGCGCTGAGGACCGGTTGGCTACGCGACACTTTTGGACATTTACCTCAGGACGCTGACGACGCCACAGTGCAGAGATACGCCCGAGCTTACTTGTTCCTGCTCATCTCGGGCGTGCTCTTTGGAAACAAGAGCGGAAGCTGATTAGGGGATTTTTCTCCCACCAATCGGAATGCGCCACGTGGGCCAATCAGGTCCTGCCAAGTGTCCCCCAGTTGGAACTGTTAGGGCTTGCCACGTGGCACACGCTTATTCGTCCACCTTGGACCTATTATGTCATGACACGTGGCATACTCCATGCCTAATGGAGAAACCGGCCACCCAGGCCCAACTTCCGAGGGAAGCCCAATCAGCCCTAGGTTAACCTAAACCTAGGATTGGCACGTTTCCCAAGGTTATAAATACCTCCCTTAATCCTCATTAAGGGAGATGACGCTAAAAACTCACATTAAACACTCTCATCTAGAGAGACCCAATCACTTTAATTTCCGCATTTATTACTCCTCAAACAAGTACTAACTTGATCGTTGGAGGCGGAGCTCCCACCACAAGGAGTCTCCGTTGTTTTGCAGGTACAGGCGTCCGGTTCCAGTCTCGGAATTATAACTCTCCCGCAGGACATCAGAAAACTCCGAAACATTTGGCGCCGTCTGTGGGGAGAGTACTTCTGAGATGGCATCCAAGTCTGTACCGACTCCTGAAGAGAGGCGTCCCCTAGACGACCCTCAAGTTCAGTCGGACCACGATACTGAGAATGAATTTGAAGTTGAAGCTCACACAGCTTCAGACGGGACCCTAAGGGCCCGACGTACCCATCATACCGAAAGGAGAGAACGGGAACATCTTCAAACTGGAAGTGAGCCAGCAGGCGCACCGCCTGTTCGGCAGCAGCCGACTGATGGGTCTGCTCCCATCACAAGGAACGAACTCATGACCTTCATGAGGGACTTCAAGGGAGAAATTCAAGAGTTGATCAACAAGAAGCCGCCTGCTCTAGACTAGGAGCAGACGGCTAAGAAACCCTCCTCTTCACAGAAGAGGAAGCCTGTTAAAGGGCGAGAGGCGACCCCTCATCCTAAATCTAGGAAGCGGGAGCCACCTGCCCTTGATTTCACAAAATACCGTTTTCCTACTCCAGGAAATAGGAAACCTGTTCGTCATATTCAGGCGGACGGGTCGAGGAAAACATACACTGACGCTCGGCTACTGCTAGAGCAGAAGAAGAGTGACTGATTGTCAGAGTCGGCCTCTACTTCAAACTTCCAAGACAGTCTGCGAAATACCTCGATGAGGCATACTCAGTCGTATCATGAGGGTCAGTCAGGCGGCACCTCCCGTCAGTCCGGCTTTCATAGCGACCAGGCGGTACCAAACTTACCGTTTATACCGCAACAACAGTATTTTTTACAGCCACCTCCGTTTGGTGGACAGGTAGTAAAAAATGTCCAACCTATGGACTGGCAGCTACGGTTTCTTAGACTTGGTGAACAGCCGTCGGCCTTCTCCAAGGAAATTACTGAAGCCGCTCAGCCGGCCAAAGTGAAAAATGTATTAGTAGGCGCCTATGACGGCACTACTAACCCAGAAGACCATCTGATGGCATTCACCAACCTGATGTACCTTCAAGGGTTGGATGATCCCACTTGGTGCAAGTGTTTCCCAGCGACTCTCAAAGGAATCGCACAACAATGGTTCGGCAACCTGCCGACTGGTTGTGTAAATAACTTCAGGACGCTTGCTTACTTGTTCACCTCCAACTTCGCCATGAACATCCCTGCGAAGAAGACGACTCTTGATTTAGGAACAATTCAGCAGGGCGAGAAGGAGGGGCTTCGTTCTTACATCAGGCGGTTTAACCTGATGAGAATACAGATTCAAGGGTTACCGGATGAAGTAGCCTATACTGACTTTTTCAAAGGTCTCAAAGACGGGTCGACCTTCAAATTTGATTTGGTCCGAAAGAGGGTGGCGACTCTTCAAGAGGCCTTGATTGAAGCGGAAGCCTATATACAGGCGACTGATCTTTGTAGTACGGTAAAACAGTCAGACGGGAAAAGGTCCGACAAAAGAGAAGGACGACAGAAGCAGTCGTCAAACAAAGACGAGAAGAGAAAAGAGGTTTGGGCGGCTGATTCCTCTAAACAGCCGGCACAGAAAAAGAAAAAAGAATTCAAACCATACTCCCCAAAGTATGCGTTTAACAAGGATAGCCAGTTTATCCTAAAAGAAATCAAGGGACGGATCTCAATTGAGAAGCCGGTCCCCATGAAGGGTTCTGCAAACAACCGGAACCAAGATAAATTCTGTGCTTATCATGAAGATGTTGGTCATCACACTAATGACTGCATCAGTCTCATGCGGTATCTGGACCGCCTGTCTGAGCAAGGTGATCTTGACACTTATCTCAAGAAATATACAAGGAACACTTCCTCAAAAAAGCAGTCGGCCAAAAAGAATCAACAGGCCGACAGCTCCGATACAGATGATGCAGTCGTCTACACCATTGCAGGCGGCTTCTAAGGAGGCGGCCCCACTATTAGGGGCAACAAAGACAATATCAGGCGGTTAGATGTAAATTCCGTTCACCAAGAACGGCCCTCCAAATATTCATTTCCTGAGATTGTCATCACTGAAAAGAAGATCTAGGAGGGGTAAGAGGGCCGCATGACGACCCTATCGTTATTGAATGTAAAGTGGCCAACCAGAGAGTTGGCCGAATCCTCATAGATACCGGAAGCTCCTCAGATCTCATCAGTAGCAAATGTCTGTCAAAAGTAAAATATCAGACTGATTGCATACATCCGGCATCCCACCCTTTAGTAGGGTTTGGAGGAGGAGTCGTCCACCCAGTGGGACGAGTGGATTTACCCATCCGCCTGGGCGAAAAAGGAGAAGGACGACACATGGTAGTCCGGTTCCTGGTAGTAGAAGAACTCTCGGCCTACAACATGATTCTGGGACGACCAACCCTGAATAATTCCAAGGTTATTATAATCCCATCTCTTATGTTGCTCAAGTTTGAGAGGGATAATGGAACAGTCGGGTCCCTAAGGGGAGATCAGAGGATGGCCCGAGAGTGCTATCTCTCGGATGTCAAGCCCACTGTTATGGCCACTGGGTCGAGTGGTGGAAAAATAGACCTTGACAATGTCAAGGAGAGTGCGCCTGTTCAAGAAGCAGGCGGCAAAAAGAGAAAGGCATCCCAGACAGGGGCCGAAAGAAAAGACAGAAAATAGCAATCATTGGCAGAGGAGCGGTCGGATGAATTCCTACCTCAGCCGGCTGGTGAGCATACGGACCTGATCTTAGACGACTCGCGTCCCGACCGACTAGTCAAAGTTAAGCCGGCTGCTCTGAGGGTCCTGGGTGACGACTTTCACAAACTATTGAAAGAATACAAGGACATCTTTGCATTCGAAGTCCACGAAATGCCAGGCATTAGTCCTGACCTGGCGGTACATAAACTGGTTGTGGATCCGAAAAAGAAGCCGGTAAGGCAGAAGAAGCGGAACCATGGCGAAGAAAAAAGTCAGGCGGCAGCAGCCGAAGTTAAAAAATTACTTGATGCAGGGTTCATTCGGCAGTGTTACTTCCCAGACTGGGTTGCAAATGTGGTGCTTGTTAAAAAGCCGAATGGCACCTGGCGAATGTGTGTAGACTACACAGACTTAAACAAGGTGTGCCCCAAAGACAGTTACCCTCTGCCTAAAATTGATAATCTGGT